GGGTTGTTGTTCTCGTTTGTCACACTGAAAAGCTGTTTTCGCTTCCCCCACTGTAAGTGACCCGCAATCTGCCTCCCGTGAAGTTTTGATTAATCGTGCATTTTATTGCAAAGGGATTTTTATTTGCAAAACCGGCGGTATAGAGTTACCATGATCGTGAAAAGTCTCCCGCAGATAGCACCCGCCCCCCCCCTAGGAACAGCCCCTGCAAAGTTGTTCTATTTTGTGATGTGAGGAAAATGATAACTCCGAATAAACATTTCTCATCAGTTGTTTTTTTCCAGTCACATCTGGTTCTATCAGTGCCTCAGCTACTGAAACAAGAAAAATCCCAATGTCTCCCTCACCTTCACGGTGGACTTGTTGAAAAGCGTTGAATTGCCTCGATATGTTCTGATTGTCGTCGTGATCATCTTCCATTCTATCGTCGTCAGTTTCTTCGTAATTCACTGGCACACCAGACATCAGCTTTAGATCGATTCGATGGCGCCGCTTGAACGCATCAAGCCATCCTTCTGAACCCTTGAAGTTCTCCAGTCCTAGAAAAGGAAGCCCCAATGTCAAAAATGTTCCTGTGTAAAACTGCGTTCATACTTTGCGGCAGCGTCCACCAGCGACAACTAGCGTTCCGAGCGCCTGGCAGCGTCAGCGACTAAGAAAGTATAGATATCTCCACCAGCGTTCGCAGCGTGAGGGCTAGGAAAGCATAGGTATCGATCTAGCGTCTGCCAGCATCCACCAGCGTTCACCAGCGACCGGGAGTAAAGAGTATGGGGAAGTAGGATGGGTAGCAAACAGCTGGAACAAGCGTCGTGAAAGTGAACCGCTTCGTACGACTACAATACATCGTACACTGACTGCTAATTCTATGCTTTGGCCGTTGTGCGGTGCGGTTGCGAACGTTTCACGACGCCTAATCCAGCTGTTAGCTACCCTCTTACTTCCCCATAGTCCCTCATACATATATCTATCCTCCCGATCGCTGGTGTACGCTAGTAGAAGCTGGCAGACGCTAGGTTGATACCTATGCTTCCCTAGCTTTCGGGACGCTGGTAGACGCTGATGGACTCTACGGCAAAGTATGAACGCAGCCTAAGAAATGAAAACGCTCGCAAGTTCTGCCCCTCAGATCAATCAAAGAGAGTGGCTAGTGTCTACTCGTGCATCCAAGACAAACCTAGCTGACGTGAAATCATCATGGCGTGTTCTTTCAGCAACTTCCCATTCAATACAATGCCATTGTCACGACAGTCTTTGAAGAATCGCCACATGAGGATGTTCAAACCGACAAAAGATGTTCTGCGAACCTAGAAATCGTACATCTTGCTATTCCAACTATGGCTATTACCTTGTAACTTAGAACATACCCTGCTTCTTTTCTTGGCTCCACTGACAATTCGCTCACGATCGTCGTCCATATCATTATCAGCCATCAGTGCAGCCGTTTGGTCACGAATAACTTCAGCACGATTCAATATAATGTACTCTATCTAAAAATGCATACAGATTGTCCTCTCGCTTACAATAGATTAGGCTGCACTCACACCTTGCGGCCACCACCACCAGCGCCCCGAG